TGTCAATCTACCTAGGAAAAATGAAATGGCAGTGACCCTATTGCTGCGGGTCCAACTCATAATCCTTCGACTGACCAACCCCTGCTCAACCTAACATAGTGAGTCCAGCGGCTAATTTTCACTTCAACTAACCTGTTCCAAGTTCCGTTTGGACAGGTGCAGGAAGGAAAGCAGCAGCTTCAGCTTCGTTTGCGTCTGCATGTCGACGAATAACGAGCACAGGTAAGCGAGGAAGTTCTTGCTTAGAGAAGAAACCAAGTGTTCGCTGCTCCACAGGTCGTCGCCGGCCATCAGTTTATTTTCGATCAGCTCCGAAAACTGCTGCACGTCCATGCCGTTAGCCTTTTGCGCGACGACGACAAATGCCTTCTCAGATGTGATCATTAAAAGCCTATCCACTGGCTACAGATGCTTGTCGACAATGGTCATGAAACCCTGTCGTCTAAACGCACTCTTTCAATACTATGCAATATCGATCGATCAAGTGATATATTAAAAACTACCTAAAAACGTGAAATGCAGTCTTTAACTGTTTCTTCGATTAACGACCGCCGGTTTTGAATTCCAGGTCATACAGAAGCTACGCTAACTTTTCGTGACGAAGATCTTACGCGTGATGAGCTGGCTGCTGATGACTGTCACCCACAACAGGCACTACAATAAAGACATCAGTACAAATTACCGTTTCATAAAGCAAATACGAATACAAACATTACACACAAGACCGGAATTTACAACAGGATTATTTGGTATCAAGTAAAACAAGTTTCTTTATACCGCCACTCCGCTAAGAACGACTAAGACACGTCACAAACCACGGCAAACCGCGCCGAGATTTGAGCTTCTAAAAGGTTCAGGGCTATTTTACCATTCACAATAACATTTTACACTAAATAAGAAAACCTTTACCCGGGAAAATTTATTTTACATTCATAGTTTTGGCGAAGGTTTCCCAGCTTAATACTGATTTATTAAAGTTTACTTTTCTGCTTACTTGTTTTTTTAACAGTTTTCATATAGGTTATTGCACGCTATCGACTGTGCTTTGAAACATACCTTGCTCCGTCTCCTTCGTACTCGCTGTCGGTGGCCATTTCTGAACAACCTTCTCTTGTCAGTAAGGAACGCTGGACCTTCTGTGTTCTACTCCAAATTTCTTTCTGGAAGTTATGGTTCGCTTTCCTAACTGAACTTCTGATCTTTTCAATGATTACGCTAACATTTCGACATGCCGGCTTCTGCAGTTAAAGCCTGACACATTAACCTCTCTTCGATCCTCAAAAACATTGTGTGGATCGCGGTGCATTGCAAAAGTAATGCCGTAAAGTGCGGATATCAGTCACAGTGGTCGAAGAGGCCTAATTCGAACTCCGGAAGTGCCGAGTTCGATTTTTGTCCAAGAAATCTTTGTCCATCAAAGGCAATCAATCTTTCATGAATTCCCTGGAGGAAGGAATTTGCTACAAGTTGTTTCAGACCCGAGTCGCTCAGTCAGTGGAGCACCCAACTCAGTACCGGTACGTCCCAAGTTCAAGACCCCGTCGAGGTCAATCGTCCCTCAATGAGTGCCTCTTCATGAGAAGAAAACAGAAAACTAAATGCTACGCTAGCGATATACATGGCTGTAGACTTAGCATTTAAAAAATAAGCATAATAGCTAATGGCGTAGAAACGTAGGCATCGCACCATCAACTTCAAGAAAAGAAGAGCGCCAAAATAATTCAATCACGAAAGTGAAGAAAGACTGACCGACAACACATGAGCATGTATACATCAAAAAAAAACAACAGAGTGCTCAAGAGAACAGTAGCAAGAGTGCAATGTGATCCTCAATTCATGATACCAA